ATCCGTGCTTTTCAAACATGCGGCTTCGGGAATAAGCTCGAGGAGGTTGCGAACAGTGCACTTGCAATGTTCTTTGGGTTCGGTTGGGAGAACGTAGGACAATTCTAGGCCCAATTGGTACCATTCCTGGCTTAATTGGGATCATTGTGGACCCAACTGGGACCATTCTGGGCCAGTCTGGGATTATTATGGGACCATTCTGGGCCAATCTGGGACCATTTTGGGCCAATCGAGGACCATTCTGCGACATTTGGCGATCATCCTGGGACCATTGCAGGATCATTCTGAGCCCGTTTTGAGACCATTCTGGGACCAATTGGGGCCGTTCTAGGTGTAATTGGTACCTTTCTAGGCCCAGTTGGGACCATTCTGGGTGCAACAGGGTTCAACCGAGACCATTCTGGGGCCAATTGGGAGCATTCTATTCCCAGATGGGACCATTCTGGGCCCAAATCGGTTCAACGGGGACCATTCTGGGTTCAATTGGGACCATTCTATTCATGTGCCATGATGGCTAGGGTTGGTGCTGTTTGCGGCCTACGACAACTCGAACAAGAATTGGTGGGCCTTTTAGAATACCTTTGGGTTGTTTAATACCACCCCTACTTCTTACCACCACCCCGGTTATATCTGGAGGCCCACCCACAAGGTTTCCTTTTTTTTGTCGTTTTTTCCCTGCTTGCTTCAGTTGGCCCATTTTTTCTGGGAGGTTGTGGTGGTTTAAACCACCAGTAGTTCCGGGGCACTTGTGTCCGGGGCGGGGAAATGCACTGCGTGGCAGTGCGTGCCAAAAAAAAAACAAACCGGCGCGGCCCTCGTTCTGGCTGGCGGCACCAGCCATTTTGCTCCTGAGGCCGAGCCCCGAAAGTGGTGCTGGTACACAAGCCGCGTATTTGTTTTCATAGCGGGGGATGCGTACTGGTGGTTTTACATCGGCCGTGGGCGTTTCCTGTGAACGCGTCGCGACGGATGGGCTTCGGGCTACCGGACCACAATGCCTGGAGGCGCCAGCCAAAAGAAGATGCGCCGGCGGCGGCGGCTCAGCAAAACTTGGCTCGCAGGGCGTTTCCCGGCTCGGCACCAGCCATTTTGCTCCTGAGGCCGAGCCCCGAAAGTGGTGCTGGTACACAAGCCGCGTATCGTAGCGGGGGATGCGTACTGGTGGTTTTAGGCTTTAAAGTTTAAACCACCAGTACTTGGCCCATACATCGGCCGTGGGCGTTTCCTGTGAACGCGCCGCGACTGATGGGCTTCGGGCTACCGGACCACAATGCCTGGAGGTGCCAGCCAAAAGAAGATGCGGCGGCAGCGGCAGCTTGGCAAAACTTGGCGCGCAGGGCGTTTCCCGGCTCGGCATCAATAGCTGGGCCAAGTACTGGTGGTTTAAGCCCTTTCGACGACTCCAAACAGAACAAGTCCTAGCATTTTGGGGGTCGGTGCTATTTAGGGGTCAACGCAGTTCGGTGGCTCGGTGCCGTTTGAGGGGTCGGTGTTGTTGTTCGGGAGTTGGTGCATTCTTGGAGTCTGTGCCATTTGAGGGATAGCCTCGGGTGCTAGGCCGTCTTTTTTTCCTATAATGGCCGTAGGATCTTGCGCTAGGAGGATGTACGCCACCCATCGTTTCCGACAAATGCAGAAGCTGTCACTGCTCCTGTGCTTGAGAGCAAATGTCTTTCACGGCTAGCGTTTTTGCTGCTGCCACTTTGTTTCGGGACGATCTTGGGCATTTGAAGAATTTTGTGACATCAGGCTTTTAAGATTTCGATTGTTGAAGCGTCGGACTTGTAAGATTTTGCAAAGTCGGATGGTCTCTGATAAGTTTTCCGTATACATGACCTCTGTTTTGGACTCGTAGAAGATTTTGCCATGTCAGGCAGAGAGGGTCTTTGCTTTCCCATATATATATATATATATAATATAGTCAAACAGAGCTGCCCGGTAAAACGTAGGCAGAGAGGGATCAGCCTCCTGATGAGTCGGTGAAACTCCGACGAAACAGTTTGTCACAGCCCCTCGTTTGTTGTCCTCTTCTCTCTCTCTGCCTACGGTTTACCGGGCAGGTCTGTTTGTGACGATATATGTATCGTCGCTTATCTACATATTGTCATAGAGAACTCCACGGCGAACCGTGGGTTAGAGAGGGAGAACAGGACAACAAACGGGGGGCTGTGACAGACTGTTTTCTTCTATATATCGTTATTTCACTCCAATCATCCTCTCGTGTGCACTTCATCTGATGAAGACGTGGATGCGTGTGTGTGTGTGTGTGTGTGTGTGTGTGTGTGTGTGTGTGTGTGTGTGTGAGAGAGAGAGAGAGAGAGAGAGAGAGAGAGAGAGAGAGAGAGAGAGAGAGAGTGTGTGTGTGTG